ATGCGTTTCTGTTTCCGTGGAGGAGCTCCTGGCACGGCTCTTCAAGTGGAAGAAGCTCCAAAAGCCGCCAACGGCAAAGGCTGGACCGGCATGCATGCAAGTGCCACATGTTGCAAGCCCTGCCGTCCCACACCCTACTTTGCCCTACCCCTCATTCGTTGTTAGCCGCGCAAGGCGCAAGGTTGCTTACGCAGGTGATGCAGACAAAACACATGTCAGGAACCAGGCATGTTAGCATGTAAGATCTGCTTCTTGTGTTTATGGACACTTTGGGCGACTTTCAGCCACGGAGACTGCTACCTGGTGTGTTCGCTCCGACGAACAGAAGTTTGCTCTTCGCAACTTTCGCCATCGGTTAGGCACCGGTTCCCAGATCCCAAGAGCACCAGGCCGAAAAGTGCCAGCAAAAATGAGAAAAAAAGAAGGCAAAGGCACGGCTGCTGCGCCTTAGGTGGGTTGAGATTCAGGATTTCAATCGCTTGTAGCGCAAATCCCAGACAGACGGCCTAAGGCCAAATCTCGTAGGGATCCTTGCCTCCAGGTATCTGAAAGACCACATCCATGATGTTGAATCTGGATGCGCCTTACAAGTGGCGTAATTTGACCACCAGTCGCAGTCGCCAGGGGAGGGACGACAGCATCGCCTGTCAACGATGCCATGTATAGTGGAATCCTTTCCAAAACCGCAAAGGGATGCACCACACAGGTTCACTACTCGTCATATTGCGGATGTGGACGGAGCTCTGCGAAATTCTGACAAACACCCGAGAAGGTCTTTAAAAACCTGAACAGACCAAATCTCTTCAACGCTAAGCACCATGCCTCGTCGGGTCTGGGAAGCAAAACGATGCAGTGCCAGGAGGAGAGAAAAAAGCAGCAGGAGGAGGCAAGGTTGCTTGCGCAGGTGAGACAAAGCACATGTCAGGAACGAGTCATGTTAGCATGTAAGATCTGCGTCTTGTATTTATTTTTGGGCGACTTTCAACCACGGAGACTGCACCTCGTGTGTTCGCTCCGACGAACGGAAGTATGCTCGTTAGGCACCGGTTCCCAGATCTTCAGAGCGCCAGGAAACTTTAAATTATATATCCACCACCCGTAACGTCAGAACTCAAACCCGGCCCCGAACCCACAAACCGCAAGGCTTAAGCCTTCGCCCGGATCCGCGGTCCTCTGCTAGTTCGTTTGCACACAAGAAGCTACTCTAGCATTCTAACAGCCGTAAACTCGAATACCCCAACTCTTGGCAAGGCCCATGGCGCAGCACAGCAGAAAGCCTCGCGATGAGACGGCGCCCGCTAGCAAGCGAAGTTCTTCCGTGCGAGCAGAAAAATGAAGTTTGCCACGAAGTGAAAGGGAATTCTAGTTTCCGGGTTTTTTTGATGTCGGCGTTGCCATTTTATTTAGTTTCAGTTAAGCCAGGTCTTGACCCCGAAGCACAAACAAGCCAACATTCAGCAGCAACTATGGAGTGGAGTGCCTCTTGCGAGCGTTCTGGCTCAGTGGCCGAGAGACAGGTGTAGGTTCATAACAGTACACCACAAGTTCACGTGCAACGTGTTTTGCATGGCAGCCGACATCATTGCGGGCTGTTCACATCAAATCCTCATTTGCAGCTGTTGCTGTCTTGTACCCGAGACAGAGATTTGCGAGGCAACTCCAAAGTTAGCAATGCTCGAGCTCAGTAGCAGTGTGTGATTTCAGGGCCTTGGGTCTTGAAGTCGGGGTGGTTTCGAATGCACCAGGTTGACAGGCTGAAGCATTCGGCAGGTGTCACAACAATCGGGCGGAGCCCTGAAGTGTGCTTGATGAGACACGAAGTCCAGATAAGGGCTTCTACACCGAATCCCGCGCAGGTGCTATGTCCATGGTGGAGGCACGCTGCTCAACACCGTTTCCATGTCACAACGTGTCTGGCAATGTGACTGGTGCAGCCGCAGAGAACAAGAAACACTGCAGTCATAGGTGATATCACGGAAATAGTGGCCTTAGCAGTCGTCATTCTAAAGTAGTCGCAGTCCCAGAAATCATGGCCCCTTTAAGGGAGGCCATGTCGGAACGGGACGTAAAAAAAGGGACAACAGTGTTGACAACCTTACGGTTAATGGCCATATACCTACAACTTGCAGTTGTTGGTAGCAGTCATTTCATCATAATGTATTCGTTAGCCCATCATCGTGCGTGTAGCGCTATTTACATGAAGAAGCTCGAATACTCAAAGCAATTCAGCCAAATTGAAAAAAAAGTTACCAAAATTGATGTAGGCTGGTCGGGTTTATGATTCGTGTAGGCACGGGCATTCTTGAGTATTCCTTGGGGCCTCAGATCTCCTGTTTGCAACCAGCAGCGCACTCCGGGCACGTGCGCGCCTCAGTTCTTTTACGGTTCCTAACAGGATTGCAGAGGCTCCCACTGCGAGTGTTTGTTGCTATTCTGTTGACGTTAGCTACTCTTCAGCCGATGCATGGCCAAACGCCTTCCGTGATTTACAGCCAGATGCAGTACTCGCACAGCACCTATAGACTTTATAGCCTAAATAAAGACCAGTGTCAATCGAAGTAGCAACATTTTGAAACTCCAATTTTTGAAGCTGCTCTCCCGGCCCCCCAGCCCCCAGCCCCCAGCCCCCAGCCCCCAGCCGCCTGCCCACCCGACCTGTTGTGTGGTTCTTCCGGCCTGGTCGTGCTCCTCACGACACCCGTGCATGCGATGATAATACGTACATCTTGCAACCCTCGGACCTGGACTTCAAGCTTATAGGGGTTGTCTTCGGTTTCATATTATCCAGTTTCCCTTTCAGCTTTCCGGGGTGGTGCAGCAATTTCGGGTCTGCTCTGTGAGAGGGTCGAATATCGGATGTCCAGGGCTTTTGGGTATGATTGCGTATCGTAACGTACAGGATGCCACGCTTTAGGTTTTAGGTTTAGGAAAACAATCCACAGCATCAACATCACCACCGGAGACCCTTTACAGTAGTCTGGCGGCCAAAACTGAGACGAGGCGTCGCAGTCCCTGCCAGGTCGTGCCTTCTGCAGTGGACACGCGAGCGTCACATTCGCTGGGAAAAGATTGGTGTCAGACGGGGTCAGCATGCACTTTGTCGAGACTAAGGCCCTTGATGTGGTAAGATCCGACTTGAGTTTTGTGGCCGAAATGTTGGGCATGTGAGACTTCCTCCATGTCCGCGAATGGGATGACAGTAACCATGAGGATGTTTCTTGGTCTGGTGGTGAGGGTGAAGGTTATGAGTGGTGACGATTGAATCTATTAAGACCATGAGCATGAAAACCATGAGAAGCATGATCAAAACAACCGACTGCCAGGCCTCGAACAATAACATGATGATGACAACGGTGAGAGTCACAGCGATCATGCTGATATTGATGGAGATGGTGACGGCATCCAGGACGAGCCTTTCAACGAATGCCTTTTGTGCAAGGTGTTCTTTCGTTTGGTTGCGTACCGCAATGTGTTCGAAGGCTCTCTGATGTAGTGTCAGTTCAACCAGGTCTTGCGCCTCAGGCGCAAACAACCGAAAAACAGCAGCAACTATAGAATGGAGTGCCTTTTGCGAGCATTCCGGCTCAGTGAGCGAGAAACAGGTGTAGGCTTATGACCGCTATAGATTACACACGTGCTACTACGAAGAAGCCGGGGATCAGCCGACATTAATACGAGCACTTCACATCAAATCCTCCGATGGAGCCTTTGCTATCTCACAACGCAGACACTGACTTGCGAGGCCAGGCACAATCTCAATTCTTCAAGATGACAGTGTTGGAGTTTAGTAGAAGTTTGCGGTTTCAAAGTTTCAGACCCGGGCAGGCTGAAGCCTGCCGGGGGGCAACAGGTTTGAGACGGCGACACCATCAGGCGTATGTGGAGGCTGTCCGGCCGAATATTTTTTCGCCCGGAAGTTCTCCGCTTGAGGACACATGACTCCAACCAGTAACTAGGGGTTTCCACGCTGAATTCCTCACAGGTGCCATGTCCATGGTGGAGGCGCGCCCCTCAACACGGGGTCCGTGGCCAGACTTGTCTTGGCAGATCCAGTCCCAATTTATGAGTCTGATTGATGTCTCGACTGTCATGTGTCTGGGCCACATGAAAGCATTTGGGTGAAGATTCGGAGCATGCACGTAGTCAATCCTTCACAAAGATGTGGTGATAATACCGCGTCTCTCGTACCTCGTCTCACATCTATATTGTTTGCAAAAGGACAAGGCCGCAAGACTGAGGGAGCACTTGGCGTTGCAGTGCGGAGGCTTGCACCTATCCAGATCATGTTCCATGTGCGGGGTTTTTTGTTCCCGCCAAAACGACCAGGAGTGCAGCCGTAGCTTGATGAGACATTACCCCTGTCTATGCTTCTTCTCATCCATGGACCAGCCTCTTCTCGAGGACCCTAGGATGTTGCTATAGAGCTATCGCTATCTCAATTCAAACTCAGATGTTCCATGACCTCATGCAACCCAACATATCGCACCCGTGCTTCAACCCCCCTGCAGAAACAATCCTGTCAATGCATGTATAGCATGGCAGAAGAAGAAAACGTGCCTCCACTCAACTCCCGTCGTCTGAAGGAACTTTCCGTACATGTGTACGCAGACCTGTGCTATATGTATCTTTCCGCATTCAACACCCTATGGCCCTTATGATTCCGAGGACGTCCGCAGCTTGTTGTGCTTGGAGCCCCAGCCGTAAGACTTGGTAGGCAGGGTTGACAGGTTGTTGAAGATTTGAGGTTGGGAGCTTTGGGCTGTATGTTTCGGGGGGCTAGTGTTGGGGCTTGGCGTTCCGGCTGATAGGGCTTCTCGGTATGTGGGCACTGGCACGTGCATCATTGCAATGTGTATGTGATGCAGAGGCCACCGTGTGAGACGTGGAGAATATCTTGGAGTGGAAGGGGTATTGAGTCTGGATTTCAAAAGTACTCGTCTCGTAAGACTGCATTCCGAGGCCTGGAAGCGTCCCTTGAAGCCGCATGCCGAACCCGCCAGGCCGAACTTCAAGTGGCCGCGCAGCGCAGCGCGGAGACCCAGGCAGCGGAGCACAGATGCCGGGGTTCTCTCGAAAAGGTTATAAAGGGCAAGAGATGGCGGATAGGATTCGATAAGTTCTTCAAAAGTTTTTGCCATCGTTCCGGTACGTTCCGGTTTGAATGTTTTGCCTGGGAGATGCCTGTGTAGCTCGGCTTGTGCGCCAATGCCTCATATGGCCGCAGTGCGCTCGCGTCCTCCACCCAGGTCGTTGCTTTGCCATGGCTCTGCAATGAATTTGGTAAAGTTCGCGCCTGTTTGAGTGGACGGTGTTCTTGGTGATTGAACTTCGGACCTGCTGAAGGCTCATCTAAGATCCGGGCCCGGTCTGCAACAGCGTTTCATGAAGCTTTTAACTCATCGAGCTTTGATTTGAAGCGCGTGCCTGACCACAAAGTCAAACGCATAGCTAATGAATGTTGGTGCCGGCGAGCTAGTGTCACGTGATCCAAGTGTATACGAGGCCGGCGCGAACCTGCAGTTGAGCTTTCAACACGGGAAGGAGTTCGGCTGCGGACTGGAGGCTTCGATCATGCGACCTTTGCAGTTGTGCAGTACTACAGGGTTGAGGCTGAGGGTTTAGGGGTGTAGGTCCTCCTTTGCACGGGGATGTCAGAGGAAGGTGTCCAAGCCTGAATGCTCACCTTTCCCAGGCAGCAGTTGCAGCTGGCCTTAGTGGGTCGGTTCGGGGGCCGTAGACCCCAAAGCCTAAAAGTGCCCACCCGACCCCTTGGCCCTCAGCCCTTGGCCCTCGCCAAATCCTATCTCCAGTGCAGGAAGTGCCGGCTTTGCCTAATGAGGCGGAGCCGGAAAACGCTGCTGAACAGACCGAGGCCTGTGATTGAAGGGCAGGCCCTAAGCCCCTAGACCCTGAACCCTGAATGTGTTACGATGTGTTACGAGGCTTTTGGGGTTTTGGGGGGCGAAGGCCTGACAGAAGAAGGCAAGGGCGTCCGGCGTGAGTTTGAGCCGAAGTTTGGAACAGCCTTCCAGAGAGGCTTTGAGAGCTCGCCGTAGTACGATGCACTCGACGCGACCTTGCCAGGAGATGCGGTCGCCTACGCGCTATTCCACGGCAAACTTTAAACCCCGAACGCTAGAACTCTAAACCCTGTAAACCCCAAATTCCTAAAACCGCAAACCCGAAACTTTGCCTAGGCTGTAGCGGCCGCTGCCTCATCGACAGAGGCAGAAGGCGAGTCGCCGCAGGCGGGAGCTGAATGCTACGACGATGTTTTTTTTTTCTGGGGGGGGTTGTGTTTAGGTTCAGGGTTTAGGGTTTAGGGGTGGGGTTTAGGGTTTGGGGGGGGATTTACTGTAGGGTTTGGGGCTTGGGGTTTAGGGTTGCGGGTTTTCAAGGAGATCTTATATGGGCTTTTTTGGGGTTTAGGAGGCTTCGAAGGGGTTCGGAGATATGTCGGGGGGGGGGGAGGCCCGGGACACAGACTCCAGATTCAGATACTCCTTTCTACAAAGGAGCCCTTCGTCCGCACTTCAGATTCAAGCAGAAGGGATGGGGATCTGAGGTGAGGGGAGGAGGATTGGCAGGAAGGCACGACATCCCAAATCTTTCTAGAATGGAGGTCTCTACAAATCCGAAACACCCAAAAGGAGCCAGTGTCGATGGCTTTAGGGTTTCAGGATCAAGCTGGAAGCAAATACAGGTACCCCACTTAAGGCTTAAGGGCTCGTAATTTTAACGATGCTATGATATACCGTTCTACGCATCAAGGCCCCTACATTAGGGTTCCAGTTCAGGCAACTTGCAACCCTAAGCCCTAAACCCGAACCCCAAGCCCTTAAAGAATAAATACCGAGGAGGAGTCCTATCCATTCCGACACTCAGAAGGGGAAAGCGAAACTGAAGCAGCTGAAGCCTAATTAAGTAGGAAGATCCCTGGCAAGCCACAAAGCAGAGGTCTCTAAGCCAGGCAGAGATGCGAGGTCCTGACGGGGAGGCGCGGCGGGTGGTTTTCGACCTTCGGAGCAGGAAGGGCCCGGAGATTCTCGTACACACTGCTTTCATGACCGGTTGCTTTTGAGAGGTCTCGAAACTAGATGCCAGCTCGAAGCCACTGTGCCAAACGGCATCTGAGCAAATTCAGAGGAAGGCTTTGGGAGGAATCGTGCTTCCTGAAGTCTAGTCGCGGCCCTACCTCTGAGCGCCCAAGTGCCACAGGAAGCCTAAGCATTGAAGGATGATTGGTAGATCTTGTAGCTACAAGAACGGGTTCGGGGTGTTCCGACACTCACTAAGCCCTCTAGCCTCCTACAAAACCCCTTTCACAAGCCTTGTGTTGTTATGTTAAGGATGAAATCCAGAACCCGACAGAGACGTAAGGAGACCCTGAACCCGAAACCCGAAGCCCTAAACTCAAACTTTTAACTTAAGGAGGCCGTCCAGAACGAAAGTGCACCCTTGGAGGCTCAGCTGCGAGATGCCCTTGGCGAAAGCATCGACTGGATCCGGGACTGGTCCGACGACGGATGTCGACCTCCCAGGGTGTGCCGGGAGTGCAGAGAGAGACTGGTTTTGGGGGCCGTATAAGAAGTAGAATAGGGGTTTGGAGTACATCACGCTGTAAGTAGGCTGGTAACCCTAACGAATAGTTTTACTGATTATTTTGGGGCTTCAATGCCAGAAGTATAGTATGGCCATGAGCAGCCACAGGCGCACCAGGTTTCGGTGATCCACTCGATGCACACCTAAACTTACCTTGCAACCCGCTCCTTTTAAGGGAGTCTCTGATAGATTTTTTTGGATAGCCCTCACATTCACGGATCTATAGATTGGCACTAGACAACTGGATGTTTAAACTTTGGATACTGGGCTTTAGGACAGGGCCAAAGGCCTCACAAGCACACCAAGTACTCTGTACTCAAGTATGATTCAATCTCCACGCCACCACCGACACCACCTCCCCGCCTCCGGCGGAGACTGCCCCCGTGGCACCCGAAGTGGTTGCCGCTGAGGGCGAGTCCGGTTCTGCCTCTGGCTCTCCCCCGCCTGAAGCGTGGGGAGAGATCATCTCCTTTTTAGACCGCCCGCAACAAGCACGGCAGTCTGCACTTGCTTCGTTGCCCACTTCCGATCTGATTCGGTTAACGCTCGAAGCTTCTGCAACCGCCCTCGGCCGGCTTAGCTGGTACGACCCCCTCCTCAAAGGATGAGCCGGCTTCGCCGTTCCGGCAAGTGCGGCCGCAGGGAGCCTTTGACCTCCCGAATCTCACTCAGGGGCTAAAACTTCAAAGCAAGGTGCCCCTTCACTGAATCGCTGAAGATGCGGAGAAACATCATCTGATGGTTCTTGTGAGACGTACTACTGCGCACTGTGGTTGTAAATGACTGGTAACTATGACTACTATGGCTGGTGATTGCTGTTGCTAATGAGGCCAATACCGGCATTATTCATTGGGAGGTTCTTTGCGTGCTTCGACCCTACAAGGCTTAGGGTCTTAAACGCTTGGAGTGCAAGGTTTCGGGTTGGCGCGCTTAGGGCTCAGGGTTTAGGGGTTTTAACCCCCGTCCTCTTCAGACCGTTGCAACGTGTTGCGGGTAGCGCGACTTGGTCCGCGACCCAGTTGGGCGATGGATGGGAGCGAAGCTTAAATCCTCTGCTTTCCGTAAATCCAGAAAGGCCCACACCGGTCCTCTCACCGGGTCCTCCCAGAATGAAACTAAGGATCTCTACCCATAGGCCCCTAAGTGGTTCCTTTTTATGGTTTATATATTTAGAGTCCTACAAGGTAATCCCCAAAAGGCACTACTTAGGGGCCTTTGGGTAGGGGTTGGCAGGGTTCTTGGTTCGGTGGTAGGGCATTCTGTGGACACTATCTTTTAAGGTCAAAAAGCCGCTGTTTGAGCCCCAGGTTTACGTGTTTTTGGGGTTGGGGTCTGTTTTTTTTTAAGAGTTTTCTGACGTCAAAACCAATCACTTTAGCAAGCTTCAACGCCCGGGGAACGTTTGTTAGCTCTCTGATCAAGAATAGGCAGCCACCCACTTGTTACTGCCCGACCTGAACACCGCAGTTCCATCGAGGGTTTCCGGCACCAGCGTCGGAAGGACCTGAGTGGGCAAAGGACTCGAATACAGCTACACAACAGCAAGCAGGGGACACCGCCAAACTTGAATTTTCAGCATAGCAACAAGTACGACTTTTCTGCAGCCGACGCTGGATGAATCACTGCGGTCTTTTAAGACTGTCAACAGAATGCAACATGCACAAGACAGCAGGAGGCTAGCAACTTGCGACTCTAGACAAATTTTGTTGGTTTGGTGACCTTGTGCAAGCAGCATGAGATTCTCCAACTCCAACTTTGCTTCATGAACAGTGTAAAAACGGCTTGCGGCGGCCCGGACTGCATGGTCAGGGCATTCCCTGAGGCTCAATAAAGCCCAAAAGCCTCATATGGTTTGGTCTTTGGGCCCAAGAGCCTGGATATATGAGTCCTTAGAGCCTTTGGGATTCTGGAGCTTTTTACCCAAACGTTCCCAACATTTTGGGGGAACCCTGATAGCTCGGGTTTGGGATGAGACTCCGACCCGCACTGACGAGGCCCCCCGTACATCTCTTCACACCTTATGAAGGAGGGTTCTTCTTAAGTCTTATATAGGATATTCCGACGATATTCCTCAATCACCGGGTTTGGGCGTCTACCGGTTCCTCGGATCCTTGGGAGAATAGACGAGCTTCGCAAGCCAGAAGCCCGGCACGTGCTTTCTTCGGGGCGTGTTTAGGGTTTAGGGGTTCCCAGACACTCCAAAACCGCTCTCAAGAATCTACCCTGCTAAAATTTCCCGGATCCCTCCATAATCTGGGGTGCTCTGCCCCCTAAGCTTCAGGCATCATGGGTTGGTGCTTGTGGGTTGGAGTTTAGGTTTATGAGGGCCAGGTTTTGCGTTTCGAATTTGGGCCATGGCCATGGCAGTGCTTGATTTGAATTATGGTTTAGGACGCAGTGATCTATTTGAGACAGCTTTTGTGTTTAGTGCTCCTTTCCTTTCGAAAGAGTATGCACGCTACGCTGGTCTCTCGCGGTGTATTATATACTGCAAATACTTCATACTTCAATTGGTGAATGTCTGTGCGTTCGTCTAGCTACATACTATTGCGTGTGTCGCCATTACGTGCAGACACACCTGCTGATGGTCAATATGGTTACAGGGGGATCTCCATATAGCTGATATAGCCTTGTTTGCTGTTCAGATTAACATGAATCAGGATGGAGTGTGGGTTCTGTCAGCTCTTCAAGATACCTTCGAGTTGCAATGGCATGCGTGCGGCTTGATGAACTAGTTGGTTGTTCTGGGCTTAGGATGTAGGGAGAAGGGTGCATGGCTTAGAGTTCAGGGCTTATGGCCTATGGTCAGGGTGTAGGATGATGTGTATACTCAACTCCTACTAAAATATCATCTTATACGCAACACTAGCCCTGCCCTGCCCCCCTTCGAACACAAAAAAGCAGACTCTACGATGGAATCAGC